GGATGAAGTGGAATCACATCACCAATAATTTGACTCAACAGATTTAATACCTTTTCCCAAAAGATTTTCACATGTGGACACTCCCATATACAGTGAAATAAAGCGCCCCTGTCCACTCCACACTTAATACAGGTGTCTGGGATGTTTGAGTTAAAATGATGCATTTTTGACGGAGTAATATATTGTCTTGTTAACCATTTAAATTGAAGTAGCCGAGATTGCACATTAATTGAATTTCACATCACTGACACTAAAAACAGGTTCATTAGTTAAATGTTAGGTTGTATCAATATGCTGTTATAATATAAGAAGTTACTTTAGATACAAGAGCATGGGTACGGTGATTGATGAGCTCCTCATAAGTGACATGTTCATTCTGTGAATAAAACTGTAATGTAAGTAATTGGTTCATGATATCATTCTTTGCATTAACAGATCGTTTATTTAAAGCCACCGTGGACACTTCAGGATGTCTTACAGTGTATAAAAAAGCACTGGATTGCTGTTTTTGGCCACCTTATCCATCGGAAGAAGGAGCAAACTGTTTTAAAGCTCATCAAATTTTTCAACTCAGGTAAGCACAAATATAGGAAAATATAGAAAATATACTCTTATGTACTCGGTGGTTACAAATAGCGAGTCTGTTATTAGCCTTATTTTGGAGTCTTTGGTGATTTGAAGATTTAACAGGCAGCATCGTTGTGAAGGACATCACGTCTGTTTCTTGGATCTCGCAGGCTTGATAGAGTCAGACGTTCTAGATGAAAGCATGATGACGACAGTTTCCTAGGAGCTTGTGTCCATATTCCCCTGAGAGTAAACAGCAGAATTTAATGTGTATAAAGGCAAATACTGTATAATTTTTGTAGCTCTGTAGTCATTTCAATGTTATAAACTGAAGCTTCTGATAGTCAGTTATGCAGAAAGTTACATTATTAGGCGATAAAATGTCCAATTTCTGATACGCTGAATTATTTGTATAGAAAACGGTGCTTTCCCTGCACCGTGGCAGAGAGCGTTGGTGAAACACTGAGTCATCCCTCGAATGTAAGCCTTCCACCGTGGGGGTGTGATGTTGTCCGCCCTGCACTGTGCTAGAACCCTAAAGAACTGCGTGCAGAATCAGGTCATTTGCTAAAGTAGGAGACAGAAATGTGGGTCAGGAAGACGCTGAGTCGCCCACTGCAGCACGTCTTACTGCTGGATCCCCTTTGTGTATTCTTACAGTGCTGTGTGTGTGTGTGTGTGTGTGTGTGTGTGTCTGTTTCTCATGCTCTGCGTCCACCTGTGTTTAGCTGCCCAATCATTTTTAATCCAGGCAAGAATGTTAATAGATTAAACAGTGTGGTTTTGTCCTTGCTGCGTGTTTTTGTGCGTGTTTGTGTATCCTTGGTTCACATGCTTGATTTCTTGGTACCACGCAGCCTGGCTCTGTGCCAGGAAGCTGAGAGAAGGGCGAGCAGAAGGAGGAAGGGAAGGCTGGATGGACTGTATCTGAGGCTAAGAACAAATCTGGGAGTGGAAAAGTACTGCGTGTGATTTTCTGGTATCCCCTAAGAAGGCTGTGGGGGTGTGTGTGTG